CTTAAATTAGGGCAGATCCTGTTGGGTTCTTTGGCTTTGATGCATGAGAGTTAGGTCATGTGAGAGGGTCACGTCCGTGTGACCATCACGCGCTAGAGCCAATGTCATGAGTTTGGGCTGTGGGAGGAGGACACCAGTCTCGTGGTAGGAATAGAGTTGGATGTCCCACACACAGGCATGCAAGCATTGACCACCTTGTGTTTTCCTTCCCTCCCGCAGTGACGTCTCCATGCAAGATCCTCAAGTGCAACTCTGAGTTCTGGGCAGCCACGTCGGGCTCCCACCACCTAGGCACGGAGGAGGCACCCGAATTTTGCACGGCGCTACGCGCCTACGCACACTGCACCCGCCGCACCGCCCGCACCTGCAGGGGCGACCTGGCCTACCACTCCGCCGTGCATGGCATAGACGATCTCATGGTGCAACACAACTGCTCCAAGGATGGCCCCACGTCCCAGCCCCGCCTCCGGACATTGCCCCCCGGGGATAGCCAGGAGCGCTCCGACAGCCCTGAAATCTGCCACTATGAGAAGAGCTTTCACAAACACTCGGCTGCCCCCAACTATACCCACTGTGGGCTCTTTGGGGACCCCCACCTCAGGACTTTCACAGACACTTTCCAAACCTGCAAGGTGCAAGGGGCTTGGCCGCTCATAGACAATAACTACCTGAACGTCCAGGTCACCAACACTCCGGTGCTGCCTGGCTCCACAGCCACCGCCACCAGCAAGGTGAGCCTCGGGCACATCCCCACGAGCAGAGGTGGGCCAAAGGCAGAGGTGCTTCTGAACAGCCTTTCTTTCCACCATCTGTCTTCCACCATTTGCACATCTCCTTGGGGAGGGTAAGGCTGGGTGGGAGCTCCTCTGAATTGGAGCGTTTGGCCCTAAATATCAGACACCCATACTTCCTCTGTCCCCACCTTCACTTAAATGACCTGTGGTTTCTTCCTGAGGATGTCCAGCCTCATCATGGTTAGCAGGCTGAGATGCTGCAGCTCAGAGGGCAATCATGGCCAAAGTTGGGGATGGCAAATTAAGAGGGCTCCCAAATTAAGAGGGCTCCCACCTGGGGGACTCCAGGTTGCTGTGAACAGCTAGACCAGGAATGTTGTAATTGTCTCTCTGGTTTGCAACCAAGTCAAGGCATTTTGTGGGGCACAGTCTGTTCTGGTGGTGCTTTGACAGCCTGAATAAACATCCTGAAGGTATAGGGGAAACACTGAGAAAACCCAAGTGAAAATGTGCTGCCGTGATATGCAGGACTTCTGTGACATGGCCTCAAGTTCAGGAGAGACCTGGAGCTGATGAACTGTCATGTTGCTCCGTGGTGCACAAGCTCTAAAGCTAACAGGCCACTTCTTGTGCCAAAAAAAGGGGAGGCTCAGCAGGGGGCATCCTCTAGCTTCTGGAAGATGTCCTGTCCCGCCATGTCTGGGAGATCTGCTTCTCCCTGTGTGTGGGGAGAGGAGAGAAGCACATGTAGGACAGGGACTGCTTCTGAGCTCTGGATGTGACCTTTTTAGCCTGTGGTGGAGCTGGCATTTTGGTTTTGACCTGTCCCTAATAAACCTCCTTAAAGGTACTTAATGATGCTCTCAACTCCTTACCAAAAGACATCAAAACCTGCTGAAGCTTGCAAGGAAGTCTTGCTTGAGGAAAGTGGTCCCTAAGGATCCCAGGGACCTGCAATTTCTATGCTGGATCCCAGGATCGCCATCTTAATTGAGCCTTTTCACCCATTAGCTGCCTCACGGGCTTGCGGTGAGGAGGGATTAGTCACGAGTTCTGCAGCATGAGCTGTGGAAAGCATTACTCGGTTATTGCTAGAGCACCAGGTGCTGTTGGAAAGGATGGGAGCCTCTCGGTCCATGGGGCTTTTTGTGTTTTTACATGATGGTCTCTGGTCTACCCTTCTTCCTCCAGCCAGAGGCAGGGCTGGACCCAGAGGAGGTAGCAGGTGGTGCATGTGAGGGGTAGTGCAGCCTGAAACCCAGGGCATGGTGGTGCCTCATGATGTGGTTGAGGAGGGGATAGCAGGGCTGCCACAGGGCTGAGAGCATATGGGCACTTGGATGAGTGGGTGGGAGAGAGGGACATTGCTGGGGCTCTGGACAGCTCAGGGCTCCTCACCAGCACCACTGGGAGCAGAGGTGCTGGGAGCCACCACCATGCTCAGCCCAGTCCTTGGGGAGCCTCAGTTTTTCCCTTCATATTCAGCCCTCAGGTGTACCTGCCATATAGCTGCTGGAGCCATCTGTCCTCCATCCCTGCCCTGCTCTGGCCAGGTCTCAGTCTGCCCCTTCATGGGGGCTGCGTGGGGGGAGTGGCCCCCTTACTGCTTCTCCTTCATGGAAAGAGGGGCAAGAGGAAGAGCAAGTTTGCAAGAGGTGAAAGAGGAACTGTAAGAGTTTGCTTGAGAACGAAAAGCAAGTTGCTCTTCCTCCCATGGAAACACTACTCTTCCTCCTCCTCATCAAGCCTTCCCCCCAAAGCCAGGTCAGCAAGGGAAGAGCAAGCACTGTGAGGTCCTTCCTCCAGCAAGGGACCTGTGTTTTGAGCCCAGCCAAGGGTGGGGAGCTGTGTTGGGTTTAGTCTATGCTGTATCACCCCTAGAAGTGCCTGCCCACTTGAACATGCTGAACACATGTGTCTGCATGGTTGACATGGGCCACGGTGTGTTCTGGGGCCCAGAGAAGACTGTTGGTCAGAGAGTGGCCAGGGAAAGGAAGAGGTCCAGCCCTTGGGATGTAAATGCCATGGGAGCCAGAGGAGAAGCTCTGCCACCTCTAGGAAAGTCAGGGCTCATCCCCCTCTGCCAGGCCCTGGAGGGAAGACAGTGCTGCATGCACGGGCATGCCACCACAAGCCTGTGAGTAATGATACTCCAACCAGCTCCCACTACAAGGGAGCTCCTGTGTTGGGCCTGGAGATAACAGCGCAGATCCAGGTGGTACGTTCAGTCCAGCCTCTGCGTCTTGACTCCATACACTCTGTCCTCATCCCTGTGCTGAAGCAGGATGGCTGTGTCTGAGGGCCTAAAAGTTGGGGCAACTCTAGAATGAAGCACCTGCCCTTGACCTGAAGGCCACACTCCCAGCCAGGCTGAGCAGACAGCTCCTCCACCTCCCATGCCACTCCTGGTGGTGGCTGTATGCTCTCAGGTGGTCATCGCTGGTTGTAACCCTGTTCCTTTCTTTCCTCCCCCACAGCTCACCATCATCTTCAAGAGCTTCCAGGAGTGTGTGGACCAGAAAGTGTACCAAGCAGAGATGGATGAGCTCCCCGCTGCCTTTGCCGATGGCTCCAAGAACGGTGGGGACAAGCACGGAGCCAACAGCCTGAAGATCACTGAGAAGGTGTCAGGCCAACACATCGAGATCCAGGCAAAGTACATTGGCACCACCATCGTGGTGAGGCAGGTGGGCCGGTACCTCACCTTCGCTGTGCGCATGCCAGAGGAGGTGGTCAACGCCGTGGAGGACCGGGACAGTCAGGGCCTCTACCTCTGCCTCCGTGGTTGTCCACTCAACCAACAGATTGACTTCCAGACCATCCGCTCAGCCCAGGCCACAGAGGGTCGTGCTCGCAGGAAGGGGCCCAGCCTGCCGGCCCCCCCCGAGGCCTTCACGTATGAAACGGCCACGGCCAAGTGCAGGGAAAAGCTGCCCGTGGAGGACCTCTACTTTCAGTCCTGCGTCTTTGACCTCCTCACCACGGGGGATGTCAACTTCATGCTGGCTGCTTACTATGCCTTTGAGGACGTGAAGATGCTTCACTCCAACAAAGACAAGCTGCACCTCTATGAAAGGACACGGGACCTGGCCCCGGCCAACATGGCTCCCTCAGGGACCCCCGGTGCCCTCTGGGTAGCACTGCTGTGTTTGAGTCAGTGTTGGTTGTGCTTATTATAGAGGTTTGCTCCTTCACACCATGGAGAGCAGGGAAAGGGGAGCAGGAGGGAATCAGGGATGAGATGGCAGTGCTGGACAACGGGAGGTTGGATGTCAGAGCCGTGTGAGTTGTCCTCAAACCTCAGTCCCTCTCTTTGGCACCAGGTCCTCCACCTTCACAGCTCTTGCCTGGGAGGAACATGCTGCCAGTGGGACCAGTCAGGAGTCTTTGCTGGACTGTACCTTGTCTGGACCTTCCTCACCTCCCACTCTCTTCCTCCTCCTCCCAGTAGTGTGGGTGCTGAGGAGCCCCCACCTCCTTGTAGTGCTCCCCCAGGTCCTGAAAATGCACGTGGTGACTGTGACATGGGCGTGCATGAACGTGGCTTTGTCTTTGCAGAGCAGAGCCCGCAAGGAGGGCGCAGAGCAGCGAGACAGGGCCAAGCCTGGTCAGCACAAGCCTGGTCACACAGGGGCTGGGCTTTCTGCTCACTGGGGTCATGCTCCGCTTTTCAGGCATGTCCCGCTCTGCCCACAGCCTCGTTGCTGCAGAAAGTTGTGCAATGGTGGGGCCGAAATGGTGGGGAATGGTCCCACACTTGCCCGGTGGCCGGTGCCAGCCATCTTCTGGGTGGAAGGAGGATACATTCCTCAAGCCTCAGCTTGTATTTGCTGTGGTTCAAAGGGCATCTCCTATTTTAGCCAGTTCATTCGGCTGATTCACTCAGTAGCTTTATTCCTGGCTCCCTTGCCTCTGCCCGGACCCACCGAGGACTCTTGGCAACGGGAGAAACCTGGCCAGTAGTCAAGCGGTTTCTGCAACTTCTGCCCAGCGTTGGACGAGTTCCTCGCACCATTTGCTCTCTGGTCCCCTAAAACGGGCAGCGGGGAGGCTGCTCAGTGGGAGGCCTGATCCGCACCTCGCTCTAGCCCTGCACCCACTTGCCTGCCCGTGGCTCGGCCAGGCCCTGGGATGGAGCAGGAGCATCGCGCTCTGTTTGTTTGCTGCTAGGTCTCTGCTCTGCTCCTTGTCCTGGGGCCGCGACTTGCAACCCCATTGCAGACCAGTTGCACCTTAAGCCTTCTGGGCTTGAATCGGAAATGCGGCAATGTTAGAAAGCCAGCCAGGAGATGGGATGCAGCAGAGGACCCCCAACTGCCTCCAAATGTCTATTCCCTGCCTCGAAACCATCGGTAATCTCCTTCCCCCACCACGTAGTGCTGCCCATCTCCTCTCCATGTTCCTCTGTGGTTCACCTCATCGCTTACTGAGCAAACAGCAAGACCACCTTTGGTCTGCGTCTTGGAGACCTCTTGATGGGTTTCCCCTCCTTTCCTTGGGGAAGTTCCCAGAAACAAGCCCCAAAACACATGTCACTCTTGGGGGCACCTCCTGCTCTCAAGGGAGGTCTCTGGGCATGAGACAAGCTAGCACCAAAAGAGGTGGGAACAGACTACGTCTGGCAGTCTGAGCTGGTGTCAAGAGGCAGCCTGGTGTAAATACTCAATGTGACTATTCATTGTGTCCTAACAGCTCTAGAGCTCCATTTGTAAAGCAGCAGAGAAATGCAAGATTGTGTCAATGGATGTAATTTATATTGTCTCTTTAATATATAGAGCCCTGGCATTGATCTCGTGTGACTGTACAGATGAAGAGATGTAATTGGTTTTTAAATGTTTAAGGAAAGAAAAGAAACAAAAAGATGTGTTTACTACTTTGCTCCTTGCTTTGTTTGCTGGTGCCCCAGGTATTCTGTTTAGGCAGATTTTGAAATAAGGATATCGCAGTTTGGAGGCGCTGAGAAGAGCAACCACTGGACCACGGCACAGGACAGTTGTTTCCCAGTGCACTAATTGCTCAGCCAGGACAATTTGGGCTTTTTGTTTCCTGTGTTCAAGAAAGAACCAAGCTTTTGTCTTCCCTAGAAATTCAAAATGCAGGTTTTGAAAGCCAAAATGTGTCACTGGGTAAGAGGAAACATTTGTTTCTCGCTGTTACCCCGTAGATAACAGCAGCTATGCAAAGCATCCCTCTGAAGACACGGTGCTTCGTGAAAGCACTCTTAGCTGGCCAAGCCACAGCATGCCAACAAGTCAATACTTCCCTTAAGACCTCCTGTTCCTACAAAGCAATGGCCCTATGGCACAATGTGCTGTGGTTTAGGGGTAATTTCCAGCCAAGGGAAGTCTATCTGATTATGGCGTGGCTCAGTCCCACTGTCCAGGTGAGCACTCCCGCGGTAGCTGGCTGTCGTACGGTGGTTGGGGTATCCCTATTTTAGAAGCAAACAGTGAAGCACTTTATTTTGGTTGTGTTTGACCCAGTTCTGGTTAAAGGTGAAGTGTGGCCCAGAAAGACCCGATACTTGGAAACAAAAAAAAATACGTAGGCAAAGGGAGGGGGCATTACAAGAAGTCCCCCCACCTTCTCCTTGCGTTGAGACCCACGGGAGTGTCACCGCGTGTATATACTGTAAATTATTTATTGAGAGAAACGCAAGTAAAGTTTGAGGTTTTTTGACAATAAATGAGTGGGTCTCGTTTTGTTCCTGGTGTGTTAGATGGTGCTGTTCGCCACTCCGGATGCGAATGCTGCGCCGTTTCTGCATTCACTAAAGCAGCTTTCTTCCATCTGTAACCCAAAGACCCTTTGAGAGCTGTCCTAAATTCTCCTGAGAATTTCACTCCGGGGTTTTATCTACAGCCAGATGAGAAAAATAAAAAGGGGGTGGAGGGAGCAAATACTCTGTAGCAGAGCTGGGCCTCGCTGGGAAAGGAGACATGCAGCAACGGAGTCCAGGTGGTACCGTCACCCTTCCCGGGCTCCCCCAGCAGCTGGGATGTGCACCCCGCTGATCTCCCCTTCCTTGGTCATCGCTCTTGGCCCCGGTCGGGTGTGTTACTGCCCTCTAATGAGGGAACCCAAAACTGCAGGGTTTTTTGTTAATTTTCTTTTTTGAAAAGCTGAAGGACTCTTTGCCCCTGCAGCTGGGGCCAGGGAGATGCTGAGGCCGGGTGGGACACTGGCACCCACTGAAAACACACGTTATTTGGGCAAATCCATGCAAAGACACCCAGCACCAGAGATCTGAGACCAGACCTCCCCCTCCTTCAGAGCTCTGAAGAAGCAGCAGCTTTCAGAAAGAGCCAAACCCACTCCCTCTGCCACCACTTGCACCAGCTCACAAGAACTTGGCTTTAGCCAAATCTGCAAGGTCATGTAAAAACTGCCCAGAGCATGGGGGGCTGGGGGTCTCCCTCACTCGCTGCCCTGCCAAGACATCACATATGGTCCCCTGCTCACCAGCCTTGGGCAGCAAGAGCACACCTGCATCTCCTGGTGGGACGAAGCGCTGGAATAAAGAGTGGTGACCCCGCAGTGACCGGCATGCTCCATCCTCTTTATCCCGTGGAGCACCAAAGTTTCCCCAGGAGGTGAGTGGGGAAGGCACAGGCCATGCGGGGACACCGGGGCACAGGTGCAGCGGTGGCAGCAATGACCTTATGGCATCTCTGAGAAGTTCAAATTGCTCTCCAGGTCATGTTCCACGGCTGGTGAGGGTGCAGCCCTAGCCTCTGCGGGCCCCAAGGTCCCGACCCATCCGTCTGAGGCACATCATCCTGTGGTAGATGGCTGCTCAAGTGCCACAGCCTGGTGTCTCGGTAGGGTTTCAAGCCCCATTTTGGCTGTGCCTGCCTGTCCCCTGGCCTCAGGCCAGAGCCTTGGCTGCTCTGAGCTTTGCATCTGACCACTCAGGGTGAGCGGGGACACGGCAGCCGCCCGGCCGCTCTTCACACCCGGCTGTCTGGAACAATCGCAACTGCAGAATATTGTTCACCAAAAAATGGCTTTTTGCTGGGAACCGGCTGCCCTCTAGAGGGTCCGCTCTGGCACGGCATAAAGCAAAAAGCGGGGGCTTCTCGGCCTCCCCGTCCCCTCACTGGGGTGGGTGTGAGGTAGGGCTGGGGGCCCTGCTCCCTGGGGCTGCACAACGGCTTTGCCGACCACCTTGGGCAATGGGTGCCCTCACCGAGATAAGCCACCACGGCTCCAGCCTGCGCGATGTCGACACAGCCCAGCACCCTGGGATGGCCACAGCGCTGCACGGACCACGTCCTTACGGAGGAGCTGCTCCGGTGGGACTGAGTGGACCTGCAGAGATGCGGGAGGTTGCATCATGCCGAGGGGTCATTTCCCCGTCGGCTTCGATGAGGCCTCAGGATTTACCCGTTTGCAACGTGGCGCTGCGGATGCGGGTTGGCAGGGGGATGCCGGGCTGAGCTGTGCCGGGGAGCTGATGCTGACGTCCCCCGGCATCAGGGTGCCCATGTCCTTACCTGCCCCACTGCTCCGGGTTCCTCGGGCCCTGCTTCTCCAGCTTTCCTGTGGGTACCCCTGGATAAAAGATGAGTCAGTGCTGAATTAAAGATCCCCTGCCTCGGGTAGATTCACACCCTTGTGCTCCGGGCAGGGACACCCAGACCAGCTCCCCATAGTCCCTGCGCCTCCCTCCAGCCGAGGCCCCTCTCCCTGCCACTGCCCCACAGCTAACAGCTAGTCGCTCTTCCCATTGGGAAATCCATTTTTCAGGTGTGTGTATCTCAGCTGTGAAATTTCACTCTTGGCTGAAACTTGGCTCAGCAGCAGAGAGGCTGGGAAGGGCTGGACCCAGTGGCTACCGGTGTGAAAAGCCCTTTTTACAATGAGCTCTTATAATTTGGGAGAAATGGCTTCAATCCCTGCACCATGTCTTGCTGTGTGGGCCTCAGTGTGAACGGGTGGAGGGTGAAGACCAAACCAAAGCAGCCCGCAGGATGCCATCACATCCCACCTGGGGAGATTCCTGTCCTGCCCAGGAAGGGCCAGGGACGGAGCAGAGAACTCCACCAATGCAGCGGGAGCAGCGCTTCTCCTAGAGACAGGGGAATTCTCCCAAGAAAGGGTCAAAAAGGAGTTTACACACCCACAGAGATCTAGAAAAGATGGATAAACACATAAACATCGGTACCATCCCAGTGAAATCCTGGTGGAAATGGGTGAGGAAATAAATGCATGGCTTCTCCTCATCAGGTGGAAATTCCCATCTGAAGGGGCTTCCAAGTCTCTGTCACCGCAGACTGCAGAACTATGTAAAACAGCTGAGAAGAACATGCTTATTCCTGCACAGTGAAAATACCCATCCCGGCATGCCCGTGGCTGGCAGGAAAGGGCCCTGCGATCCCGTAACAGCCCCGGTTTTAGGCGCTCGCCCCGTGCTTCCACCAGACCTGCCACCCTACCGAGGGGCTGCAGAACCCCCCCAGACACACCACGCTGGCGCGGTTCTGAAAATCTCAGTAACACTTTTTAATATACAAGAATCAAAAGTACAGCAGTTTTACAATGTAGGAAAATTTAATACATACTATATAAACAACATATTTACATCAGAAATCACTAGGACAGTGGCATTTTTTCACAAATATAAATTAATATTAATTACTGTTTTTAGTCAACAGGTTTAAAAGTCCACATTTTTACAGTAAGAGTCCTTCTCTCCCCGGAGGGGAGGTGGAGGTTGGGAGGAAACGGGTGAAAGCAGAATAGTATTTTTGTGTGGATCACTTAAACTGTTCATGTAAGGACTTCAGAAAGCTGTTAAGTATCCACTTTGGTTGGGCACCACATCGCCAGTCCACAGCAGGTTTTGGTCTGCAGGACTTCCATCGTGTGAATTCACAACTTTACACCATTTCCAAAGGGGTTAGGCTGAAAAACTCTTTTTTTAAAAATAAAAACCCAGCAAGTTGCTACTTTTTCCTGCAAAGAGGCTAGAGGGAATCCCACAGTTGGTTTGGAAGGAAGAGCTGTACCAGATGTTGACACAAACACTGCAGTGAAGTTTATGGCTGTGGACCTGTCCCCTCTGATCCCACTCACATCCAAGTGACTGTGTCTGGTCATGGTCCCTCTTGAGGGGACATAAAATATGCGTGCGTGCATGTGTGTGCTTGGGGAGGACCTTCTCCCAAATCTAGTTCTCCAGCTTCATTAAAGCCAAACCCAATGAAGACCCATCCACCACAAGTGAACAAAACTATATGACTTCTGTATCAGGCTAACGTGACAGCGGGGACAGCTCTTCGGTGGATATGGGTAAAGCTTTTGCTGTTGCACAAGAAGGAAACCCCAACCAACCTCATACCTGGAACCCGGGACGAGCAGAAATGCCCACATCTGGACACAGAAAAAGCCTCTTGCTGGGGTTCAAAGTTTTCCTGCACCAACCATAACACTGGTCTGGCCAGTATTGCCTTTTGCTACAAGTGTATGGCACAAACTTTCCATCACGATAGCACCGCTTGGTAAACAAAAAGACCAATTCTCTTTGCCCCTCTGAGGTTTCTTCCATTTTCACATTAAAAGCTAATACCTCTGAAAAGAAAGGACCTCTTTGTTGAATATCACAGCAAGTGTGCCTGCAATCACAGCTTAGTGAGAAACGCAGCGGAAACACACTATCTCAACACCTCCCATCACCCGGGCAGCTCCAAGGGGGACTGTGGAAGACTTGCCTTCACCTCCTCCTGCCCAGATAAACACAAGCGTAACACCTTCTCGGGGCAGTACAGAGTTGTCCGTACCGGTTCCCCCCTAAGGAAGCAAAACTGCCCTGCATTTGGTGGAAATCTTGCAAAATAAAAACAAAAGGGGAGCAAAACACTTCCCACATGTCCCGTTAAAGCAGCGGTCTCAGAAAGGAGTGACAGCAGCTGATTTCCAGGGATGCGCTGCGTGTAGGGGGGACAAGGGGGTATTAGTGTCGGTTTGTGTGCGCCTTCCAAGGTGCTGGCTGGAGTTGGGAAGCCAGCCCCGAACACCCATCTCCCTTCAGTCTTTCAGGGAAAGGACATCACAGCTTATTAGGGTCAGATACTGGCATCTTAACATGAGGCCCAGCTTCTGTCCCCCACCAAAAAGAGGAGTCTGTAACAGCCTGGTCTTTAACACTGAGCTCGAGGAGATGACGCATCCCCAGACACCACTCTCTGGACAGCCTGGCTGTTGGGAGAGCTTTGTGGTCTCCGGGGATGTGACTCTACGAACAAAGACCTAGGACCTGAAAAATAATCACCCAAGCTACTTCTGGCCAGCAATCTGTGTGCAACCTCTCTCACTGCACCACAGTCTCCAGGTTGGACACTCGTTCTGCATCATACGCTGTGGCTCGAACACTTGGAGGAGTGTTTGCTCTGAAGTCCACTGAGCTGGGCTGCAGACTCCTCTTTTCCCTCTGCCATGCTGGGCTCCTGAGACATTTGCTCCAAGGATTTTTAAGGACCCAGTCCTGAATTCCTCATTCTCTCCCTGCTCACTTAGGTGCTAAGTCCCCAGGCACATTTCCAATTTAGACAAACAGAAGGTCGTTCAGGGCAGGTACTTTTAGCAACTCAGAGTTACTGCTGACTGTTAGAATGGAGGCAGGAAGGTGACCGTTCGCTGAACAGTGATCAGTCCACTGGATTTCTTATCCTTTGGTTGCAATAAAGGTTTGTGATCACTGTTTCGCGAAGTGCAGAAAGAAATGACTTGCCCAAAGACTAGAGCACTTCAGTGACAGGGAGGTTAGGAGCTTCAGGACCCGCAGATGCCCAGAGCTGTCTTTTGACCTTGCAGCTCCCAGTCAGCATCTGTATTAGCTCCTGGACCATCCAAGCTGCCCACGTCAGAAGAGGAGTTTTGTTATGAATTCCTGAGCCCTGTCCACTGGGAAATACTGTTCTAACCCCAATTTCTTTCCTACTGGTTAGAAGTGAACTAAGCCTTTGCTAAGGAAGTCTGGGTTTTTTTTTTTTCACATATCCCAAAGCCCTCCCAGAGTCAAGATTTGCCAGTTCCAGCCCCGAGGTGGGAGGAGCACGCCCTGCGTCTCTTCTGTTGCAGGGCACACAACAGCACTCAAAGCAGAGCCAGTTTCTTGAAATGGATGAAGACACGAAAATGATAATGTAGCGAGAAAAGCGGTGGATTGTCACCAGCATGGCTCCAACTCCTTTGGAGTCACTCTGCAGGGACATCAAGTCCCTCTTTCAACCAAGCTTGGCTGCTGAGGGACTCTCCTGTCCCTCCTTGAATATCCTCCCATTGCCCTATGCTGGTTACACACAAAGCCCAGCCCAACCAGTTTACCCCCAATCCCAAAGCAGCATCTGTCACATAACACCAAGTCAGAGCAGGCACATGGCCTTCTGCACAAATCCTAAGCAGCATCGATCCACCTTCTCGGTCTGGGGAAACACTGGCTGGGGAAAATTCCCTTGGGTCCATTGGACTGGGGAAAACAAAAACAAAACAAAGAATGAGGCAGCAAGGCTGGTTCCAGCATTCAATGGTAGAAGAGGGGAAAGGAAATGGGAATCCAAACCAGAACCGAGAGCTAGGCAAAATCTTCCTCCACCTGCTCCCCCAAAATCCTCCTTGACCCAGCAAGATGATAGCAGCATGTTCAGAGTTTCTGGTTGCTGGCTTGGAGAAACCAGCCACTGTTGCATCAAACCAAGTATTTCAGACGTGCGCTTTCCCCCTCTCAGTCACTTTATGTTTTCCGAATGTTCCAGTTATAATCTGGATTGTTTTTCTGTTCTAATGACCTATCCAGAGGTGACCTGTGATCGAGAGGTGACTTGGAATCATGAGGGGATTTCTGAGAGGGGGGCGAGCGAGGGTCCGACACTGCAGGGTGAGGTGGAGGGAGAGGCTGTTTGTAATCTCCCGATTTGTCTGTGTGGAAGGACCGGTAGTGGTCCGAAGGTCCTTGGCCATGGTATCCCATGGGTGGCCTGTGATCAGACATCCGTCGGAAATCCTGCTGGTGGTAGTTCTGAGGCCTGAACTCATCGGATCGTCGACGCTTGGAATCATGGTGGTGCCTGCAGAGAGAAAACAAATGGATGGAGATCAGTTCCCCAAGGAAAGCCCAGCCACCGCGGCCAGATGCATCATTGCAAACTCCTCCCAGCCTTTCTGAGATGAAAGGGAATTACCTGTCGTAATAATCTCGGTGGCCTCTGTGGTCTCGGTCACTGTTGTACTGTTCGTATGGCCTCTTGCGGGAGAGGTTATTTGGTCTGTAGTTCCCAGAGCTCCGGTGGGGCTCTCCACGAGATCGCCGATCCCCGTAGTGGTGGTCCTTGTACCAGTGCTGCTCATACTGGTGATGCCGCTCCCCACCCCACATCTGGTTGCTGTTGCCACCGTAGTTGAACTTTCGATCCCTCTGCCATTCTCCTCGGTCTGCAATGAGGAAAGCACCAATAAGCGTTTTTCATACTTTAGTTTAAGCCCAATATTTTGCTGAATTCTCAAAAAAAAAAAAGGTAACTATTGCTGTGCCCCCTTAACTTTCTCCTCCCTAAACTATGTAGGCCCAATTTTATTCTTTGAATTTCTTTATCATTATTCTAGCAAATCTTATTCTGTCTTGTTCTTATACTCTTTTTGTCACTACATCATCACGTTTTCTAGTCCAGCAATAAGTACAGAGATAACATACGTTCCATCCCATCACCTTTAAATCTGACCAGCTGCAAGTCTCAGAAGCGTTTGTGTCCAAGACCAAACAGCCACTAGGTTAGAAGGGATGTTTTCTCCTGGCTTGCTAGTGCTCACCTGCATTGCTGAAATGCCTCTTGTTTGGATGGCCGTAGTTGTCACGTGGGTGCCCATGCATCTGCTGCTGGGTGTGGGAAGGGGGCAGGTGGATCTTCTGGGAATGAGGATTGTGAGGCACGTGAGACTGGGACATCACAGAATCGCGGCTGGAGCCTGAAGGCTCTGGGCGGAACGGCTTCTTCATGCTGGACATGTCCTCCTTCTTCTTCTGTTCCTGCAAGGTGCAAGGGAGGGTTACAGCTCAACTGCTCTTCCACCAAAAGATTCAGACTATGTGAGCAATGGCCTCATCTGTCAGGCTCTGGATTTGTCTGGAGATTCCCCACACTGTAGGCCACCCACCTCTTCCTAAGGGCTTTGTGAATCAACCATGCCCAAGCGTGGTATGAATGGCCACGGTACAAGTGTGGTGAAGGACAGGTGCCATTCTGCCCCACGCAGCTCTGCTTCTACATCCTATCTCTAAAGGGCAGCACTCTCAGGCTTTTCACTCAAAAAGTCAACACAATGTGCCACACCAAGCAATGGTCAGAACAGCCAGGACAAAATGACCAGTGTTGTTAGGTGAGAGGAGAAATTCCACACGAAAGAGGAGGCAAACGCAACCAGGACTGTTTAGACGCTAAGAAAATGTCAACAGCAATAAAGAAAGCCCATGATAAGAGACAGAAAGTATTGATGTTTCAAGTGCAACAACTTTTAAAGACAGCAACCGGAGGGAAGGCACTTTAGATCTCACCTCCTCTTCCTGCGATCTTTTCTTGTGAGCCATCTTGTAGAGTTTGTGCAGTTTTCTGGCATCAAATTCTGTGAATTTTGACACAAATATCCATAGGTTCCTAGAAGGACACAAATGTTTTTTGTTAATTGCTACATCAGCAGTTTAACTGCCATCTGCTTTCAAACCAACATCAAATCATTTCTACCCTCTCTGGAAAACAGTCTCAACCCTGCTCAGGACAGGATGGTCAGGAGAGTTGGAGCCAAGTTCTTCAAAGTAAAATAAAGAGGTTTGCACTAGTTTATCTAAATTAGCTCTGAAATCAATTTAAATGAAACCAGCACAACTTGCAGACAAAACCCTCACCTGAGACTGGTCATGGACTGAGTGGGCTAGAGAACGCAAGACTTTACAGGTTAAAAAGAGGCAAATGGCACACTCATCCACACAAAACCCAGCACCCTCTGACTACCATCATAGACCAGCCAAAGAAAACAAAATGATCCCTCACCTTCTCCATAGCTTGATATGGTCCTGGTCCGTGTAGGCTTTAAGGCACTCAGAGATGCGGTCCCCAATTTTTAGGAGGCAGTTGCGTGTGTGCTCCAGCTGCTCTTGAACTGTCAGCCCCTTATCAGGCTTATCGAGTTGCTTCAGTGCTTTTTTCACTGGCCTCATCCTTTCCTTGCACTTGAAAAAGCAACAGAGAGCAGAAAGTGATTCATTTGGTACAGGGCTCTACACTGTTCCCTTGTTAATCAGGCAGAGCTGGAAGAAGTTCATTAGCATGAGATATTAGCTTTATCTGACCATTAGGCAAGGAGAAATCAGCTACGAAAATAGCAATTTGTTAGACACGCTGCAGAAAATAATCAGGAAAATATGAGAGTCTCCCCATCTCCCCTGCACCTGTTTTTAGAAGGGAACAATTTGTTTTGCAAATCATAACTGCACACAGCCTGCTTTGCACTGATCCCACGGCAGGCAGGGAAGCGTAACCGAGCATTGACAGGCTGAACCAACAGCCCCAGCTGAATGGGTGCTCACTCAGTGGCCTCCCTGTCCATCCCCATCTGTGGTCACTTTAATCTATCGCTTTTACCAAAACTGGAAGACATGAGATGAAAGCACCATCTTTTCCAGCTGTGCACATCAACACTGTGCACAGTGAATCAGACAGGTTTCTACTGCCTGACTGGACCTTTCATGCACCCCAGAGGGAAAGTTAAAGAAAAAAACAGACAAAAATAACACAGGACCTGCAGGGAGTACATCGATTTTAATTTAGAGAACTGTTTTTAAAAACTGGTATTTCAGCATTTCCCTGTGCAAGTCAGGCCAAGGAGAGTCTGTCATGACAACTTTTACTAAAAGCCTAATTTTACAACAAGCTCTTGCAGCAAACATGCTCTTGCAGGCATGTTTGCTGCAAGAGCATTTACACAGCTAGGGAAGTGCTTACAGCTCAGACAACTCCGTACCTCCTACGGCCATGCAAGGTCACCCTCAAAACTCTCCTGTATTTCCCTGCCTGGAAGAGCCCAAATGGCTCCTTTGCTTCTACAGGAGCATGACTGCCACATAAGGCTGCAGGGTCTTCTGTAATCCAGGGCTGTCAAATGAACTGTGGGAACTTAGCAGCTGAAGAAAAGAGCCCTTCTGCACGCTGTTGACATGCTGTCCTCCTCTGCCCTGGCTGGCATCCCTGGCAGAGGGAGGGGATAATGTGCACTCATGCAAAGCTGAATTCTGAAGAGCATTATCTGAACCCTTTAACAGTGCAATTGCTTGGTGAGAATTGGGAGCTGCAAGAGCTTTGAAGTTTCTTCCAGTTGAAGTACCATTTACAGCAGCCAGCTAGTAGGCACAGAGGCGGCTGGTGGACAGCTCTCGTACAGTGTTGTTCTGCCATGCTCTCAGACCAGCCAGAGGAAATCACTGTGGGGCACTATGAGGGGGCTCATACCCTGACATCTAAAACACGTCCTTGGATAACGTGCAAGCAAACCCTGGCTGCCTTGCTGGGCTCTCTGCCACTGCCCTCCCATCTCCCGAGGAAAATACTCACTATGCTGAATGTTTCTTGGTCCAGATCATCGTCCTCATCTTCTCCAATGGGGATCGGTTCACTCCCTGCTGTAATGTGGACGGGACCTTGCGATCTCTTCCCTTTACTTCCAGATTTGGCTTCACCACTTTTAGGCTTTACAAGGACAAATTACACACATCACATGATGAGCCAGACTGCAGGATCCCAAGTGATCCAACTAACAACCTCCACACTATTGTTACTGGCAGTTGTTAAACCCTGGGCATTGCTCCTACAACTTTCCTCCCAAGACCTCAAACTGTTTAGCTTCTATGCCTCTATTTAGCTTTACGTCATGCCTGAGGGAGTAGAGAGACATCAGAGCCAACATTTTGGACATGAATACGATATTCATACTCATGGAGAGAAAAACCAACAGTGAAGACTTGGAAGAGAGGTTAAACTAAAGGATATATGTCCCTTGCAAAGGACAGAGCTCAGAGTAGTCTCATGTCTATGAGGATCTGCAACTTCATGTGATGTCACTAGTCCTCAGACCCTCTGGAGAGCAATCTCAAATCATGGCCTGTTAGTGTAATTTTGACTTGTATGACTTATCTGCAGTCAAAGCCCTGTAGAGTCAAAGTCATACCAAAAATCACTTTCCCTACATACGCAACAAAGCTGCTTGGTTTGCACTTATGACCTCGGTGTCAAAACACACTGGGCATGCAGTACATACCTGTTCCTTGGACAGGTACTTCAGGTCATTATTATAGAAGCTTCTACCCCCCTTCCAATTTGAATCCAGCCTCAGAGCAGTTATACCCAAATTTCAAGGGACATTTTAGTCCACAACATACCATTGATGTTGAAACACTCATTCTGATGAGTCGTGAACAGTGACAAGGACAACTTAGAGTCTTGATGGTGTGGACAGTTGGGTTATTTGGGGTGAGTTTAAATTAGAGGGTAATACAGACAAGGAGCTGCCGACCCTGTGATAAATCACAGCTGAACAGAACTTTGATCTGAGTGCTCCAGGCTCTTTCCCCTTTCTTCCTTAACATCAGCTATTTGGCCATAGCGCTGTCACAGGGACAGCTGTACTTTAAAGGCAGTCTGACAAAAGCTCTTCCTTTTTGCTCACATTCCATCAAGCTTTAGGATATATTGCCTTTTCTATTTTTTATTGCAATTCTTCACAATAAGAATTCAGGAGGGCTGAAAAAGGGATACCTCACCCCACAGTGCTTCATTGATGTCTCTTCACAGAGGGCCTTTAATGAATCATAAGTCTCATAGCTTGCCCTTCTGCTCAGAGACTTTCCTCTCTCTTAAACTGCTCCTGAGAGTACCACATACCTTCTCTTTCTTGTCTTTTGTCTTCTTTTTCTCTTTATCACTTTCCTTTTCTTTCTTAGTGGTTGTCTGTTTTTCCTTGTTCTCTTTGTTCTCTTTCTTCTTCTGTTTCTTTTTCACTGGGCTCTTTTCCAAGCCATCCTCCTAGAAAATCAGTCACAGCACAGTCAAAGTTGGAGTCCCTCACCTCACATACACTTTCTTCCATAAAACTTATATCCTTGAAAGGCACACAATTTTTGAGGTTCATCCAAATTTGCCCTTACACCTCTTTAACCAGACAGCAAGCCCTGCTTAACCAGCTGCAATCCAGCCAACCATTGACAAAAGGCTATAAAAAATAGACAAGCCCCAATCTGTAACTAGCTGGCAAACTGTAGATAAGCACTGCTTTCCTATGCCAGCTGCGCTCAAGAACGCTCAGCCCCTAAGGTAGATACTGATCAGCACATGAACAAAAAGCCTTAGACTACAAGCCAAACCACTCAACGACAGAAGGTTTTCTAAGCAACAGCATGACCTTGGTAAACTCCAGCTTCACCACTGGCTGACATACTGAAAAGGAGAGGGAAACAATTCTTCTTTCTCTCCTTTATAAGGGCAACAGACTTTGCCCTGAGACAGCCTTTCCTCCAAGTCAATATATGGATGTGTGCGGCCATTCTAGGATCCCCCAAAACACTTAAAGCACTAACCTAAAAGAGTGGGTGGGAAAGGTCCTTCTTTCACCCCAACAGCTGTATATAAGTTTTTGTGACTTTGCCAATCTCCTGTGGGAATGGACTCTGCAGTGCCCCCTGACTCCACAGGGCATTTGCTAGGGGTGCTTCTCAAGGTGAGTTTCTGCAGTAACAACATAGCTCAAGGAAACCTGGAAAAGCTGCTATCCACCAAGTTGACTCACCTTGACTTCACCTTCTTCTGATTGGTTGTCTGAGTGCCGAGGAGAGGAGAGTTCATTCCCATGCTCATCTTTCACTTTGGGAGCCTTGTTTTCTTTCTTTACTCGTGGTTTCCTCTTCTTTAGCTTGCCCTGGTGAAAACACAGAACAAGTCAGGGCAAGCAAATAGCTACAGCTACTTTGTGGGGACATACCCCATCTCCTGAACATCTTGCAAACAGCCGCAGGTCCTGCAGGGTGGCAGGAAACCTGATGAGCCTGAGCCCTTCAGTAAGTGTAATAATTAATTATTGTCCCTTACTAATTATCATTTCAGTATCACAATGCAATCAGACAACAGACAAGTCCATATGCTTTCATGTAGATGATGTTCAGTGACCTGGGAACACAGGCTGTCTCCTGCCATCAGCCAATACTCATCCTGAAACCCCCAGAACCAAGCAGCCACACCTCACCTCTTCCCCATCTTTCATGTTTTCTTTCTTGTCCAGATCTTTCTTCAGCAGTTTCAGTAGATAATCAACTCGGGTCTGGAGCTGTTTTCCCTGAGGTTTCTTATCTGTCTCAACAGGTAGGATCTTTGATAAAGAAAAAATAAAACACTCGCATGCATCTATCAAACCTTGAAAAAAGAGATACGCACACTAGCAGCAGTCCTTCCAGGACCAGCAAAGGGCTGGAGATGCTGCATCTTCTGGGGGAACAAGAAGGTTCAAGCATTTCTTCCAACTCCCACGCAGACTCTCCCTGTCTAGCCAAAAGCAAAGCTCCTAGCCAGCATCCCTCCCCTCAGCCTTTTGCAGAAGTGAAAGGACCTCCAGGGAACCGCTAGATTCCCTACAATCTTTCTTGTACATGTGCAAAAAGAAAAAAAAAAAAAAAAAACCTTTGGAAAACATACTTGGGACCTTGTGTTGCAAACCTCAGTCCTCTCTCCTTGACATATCAGATTTGTTTGTGACAGCCTTATCACAGCAGGCTGGTCCTCTTTGGTAACCTGACACATTGCTACAGCAATGATAGAGATGCAGAATGTTTAGCGGAAAACAAGGCTGCAATGTGCCACTCTGTGGAGGAAGTATCTCAGCTTGCCAACTGTGGTTACCTTCATAGTTCACTAGAAATTGGGTGGCATGTCTCAGGCAATTGTTTCCACTGTAAAATGTCTTTCTGAACTTCAGGTAGGAGGGCTCTCAGCCACAGTCTGATCTTTGCTAAAAACGCTAGCGAGGAACGCAGCATATTGGCAACAAATTTGGTGTAGAAAGTCTCGACGTTCCTCAGCCCTGCGTTGCAGTTCGCTCTCCTTCCATTGTGCTGACACAACGGATGGCGGCTTATTTTTAACCTGGATCATTTCAACATGGCCCCCATAAACAGTTCTTATGGGAATGACTGAGGAAGAGAGGAACGAGATGGAGGCTTTCCAGCTGGCTTTGCTGCCATAGCCAGTCATGTAACTATACCCTCAAAGCTAACACAGACCAGTCTTGACATTAGCAGTGTCAAATCTGTGAAAAATTATTTCCACACAGAAATTCAGACTCAGCTTCTTGTGAGATGCTCAAGGAAATATCAAGTCATGATTATGCAATGCACTCTCTATACGGTGCATGTAACCACATATGTCAGCATTACCGTTTTCTTCCTGCATCATTTCAGTGTGGTTCATATGGTACTGTTCAGAGAAAATTTACTGCTAATCAAATAACACAACTCTGCTTTCCATCAAGCATGCAACATTCCATGGAGGTCACCGTTTTCCTCATTATTATTTATTATTATTTTTGGAGCAGTTACAAACATAAACATCTGTTTCTGGAGTAAATCAAACGTTCTCTATGAACGCTGCAATGGACCCAATGCAAGCAACAAGCAAAGCAACCTACCTTATCAGATAACTTCAATTCCGGATCTGTTTTAATTAGCTCCCAGTTTCCATAACCATGCTCGTAAATTCCCACTAACAAGCGAGAATCCTCCTCCACTCCCCAGTCTACATCAAAATGGGCAGCTTTGACACGGCATGTCAGACGGTACCTGAAGGCATTTCAAACATGAGCTACTTTTAATGCTGTAGAAGATAAAGCAAATCCACAAATCTAGGCTATTCTCTCTCCACTACAAAATCCAAATTCCCTGAGCCTCTTTCTGCATTGCCTACTTAACCAAACTCACTTCTTCCTTTCCTCTGGATCCGTGGGAATGGATTTATGCAGCATTTCAAACTCCTCTTCATGCTGGATGATGGATTTCACATTGACTTGGACACCAGAAATCTTGATAGTAGGACCTCTTCTTTTTCCAGGTCCTTTCCCTGCTCAACAATAAAACACAACAACTAAGAGAACTCTTACAGAAAGAAGTGCCTCTGTAAAAATGTGTGGACACACAGACATCAGGACCTTGCCCGCAACCTCTTATTTAAACATAAGGCTGTCTGCTAAAGGAAGGCCCAAAGTATAAGTTTTCTTTCTAACTCACTTAGATCTGCAATCCAAACAACCCCAAGTATCATTTTCTTAAAAATTATATCTAAGTACGCTGGAGTTGTTGCTTCAGTAGTTTTGTTCAGCTGCAACAAGCAGAGACCCAGTGGGAAATCCAGCCCAGACCCCTGTATCTCCAAACCAACAGCACAGAACAGCCATACAGAGAGCGGGTGACAATGCCCGCTCTGGGAAGTGCTATTTGTGGATCCAGTTTTACCACGGAGTACAGAGCACCAGTTTGATTCCCAGTCTCAGGAGCAGTTAAAATATGATCTGCTTTGCCTTGTGGACCAGCATTAAATAAGGTGATGACTTCAGCCTCTCCCCATGAAAACTCCTGGTCAGCAGAGGCCAACAGACCCAAATGGCACTCTCCAGTCTGAGCAGAAGACTCAGGGGTTTCTCTCTGTTGGTGAGAGCTGCCTAGCAGAGATGGGATGGTTTAAACGTGTGCTTGTTCTTTGCTTTTAAGTCACACTGTGGCATGCCTCCCTGTCCAGCAAGGGAACGGCTTTCTCACCAGCTCCATGGAATACACCCAAAAACATCGTAAGAGCAGCACACCACCCTCTTGCTTACCTTCACTTGGATTTTCTTTCAGCTGCTCCTCGTATTCTTGCATTGCTGACACACAGCTATTGTGGATGAGTTCCCCTAATCGTTTTAGATCAGCCACAGACTTATCCACCAGCTCGGCATCCCGGGCAATACACTCCAGCCTGGGGAAGGGGAAAAAGAAATTGCAAGTTTTGTATTTGATAGAGCATATCTGCTCACAGTCACTTCCAGAACAATTGTTTCATAGCTTTCAGGAGTCAATGCTGTATATGTATGAATGGGTGAAACCTTCACGAGTGGGGTTCATGCAGGAAACAACACAGTTTTAGTCTTTTTGTTAGGTCTAACAACTGCAGTACAGTGCTGATGTAGTATAACTGATCCAATCCTTTGGATTTTTTAGTATTAAAGCAACGGTGAGAACTGTCTATCTTGGGCACAACAGGCACTCCCTGTGACTTTCCAGTGCTCCTTCATGCCTTCCCAGTTCCCTGTTAACTCCATTTCATGGTCCAAAGCTGCCATCTGCTGTCCCTTTTGCCTGGCTGAAGTTAGTAATGTCAAGGCCCATAGACAGGCCTCGTGTTTCACAACAGAAGAGTACAACCAGCTGAAAAAACACAGTCATTTCTCATGCAGTATATGCAGGGATCCCTGCCTCAGCTCTGAGACCTCAGGCAGGGCTACCAGCTTCCCAGACGCAGCACATGTGCCCACCTCTCTCCCTCACACCAGGGCCACGCACTCGTGTAGGGCTCCGCAGACCCACGCTCGAGGACGGTGTGTGCCTCTCCCAGCTTCCCTTCAAGAGGGATATGGCAGTGAGAGAGAGAGATGCTCTGAATTCAGTCTTGAAACCAATATGCATAGAGAAGCTTGGCAAGCATTTTGGGTAGCATTTGCTGTTCAGACAGCTGCTCCCTCTCCTTTCTAGGCAGAGTGGAAATGCCCCAAGGGCCAGACTCTGCCAGCAGGATGATGCTGCGTACAGCCCGGCGCCACTGCTGCTCTAGCTGCTTTTTGGCCAGCATTCATCAGTGCCCATCAACTAAGCCACAAGGGACTGTATGGCAGTGCTTGGGTTACTGATCACACAACAGCAAGGCTTTGTGCTGTCCGTGGAGGTTGTATCAAACACCCATAGCAATGTGTGTATGGCCGTGCTTAGAAACACAACGTCCCCCCATGATAACCCCCTGGAGCAGGGCCAGCTTGGGACTTACCGTTCAAGAGGGAGTCCAAACTTCTTGTAAGCCTTGATAAACCTAAGCAAAAAAAAAAAAAAAAAAAAAAAAAAAAAAAAAAAAACAAAAACAAACAAACCAGAAACTAAACCAACTGCCGTAAAAAGTGGGTCCAATTTCACAAATACGCCTGAATATATTAATTACAGCCTGCCACGTTATCAACTTTGCATTCCACACTGAGTAGCTAAGCATCACTCAGGACTGGAAAGCCTAATCTGTTAGCCCCACAAAGAGTTTTGTGACCTTGGCTGGAGAAGAACACAACATTATTATGAATGTTGGATGTTTCACAGATGAAGGGAAAAAAAAAAAAAGTGAAAAAAACCTGAAAGAAATCATTGGCTCACACCACATTGGTAATTATTAACTTCATTCTTCCAAGAAGAGAAGCATTAAATCAATCTCATCAGTAATTTTAACACTCAGGCTATAAGTGTAACAACCCACCACAGAAGAGCCAAATGTAGCGCAATCCATCACAGAGGTTTGCAGACAAGGATTGCTATTTATTTTTATGTCTTATTTTTACTGTAAAAATCACTGCCATGGCTAACACACAACTTTAGGGCAAGAGATATCCACCATTTCTGCGACTGAACAGTGCCTTGTGCCGGGAGTAGACTCAATGGCTTCAACTACAGATTATTTTTATAACAACTTAATTTTTTCCCTTCTTTTTTCATCTTGTGCTCTTTCAGCTTCTTTCTGCTACATCACAATAACCTAAATGGCTGCTGTAGTTCACATCTGTCCTGGTTTCGGCTGGGATAGAGTTAATT